GCTAACAGTCCTCTATTTGTCTAAAACACTGATGTTTCTTTTTGTTGTTGTTACCTGCAGCTAATAAAACACTTAATAAATAAAGGCAAAGGAAAAGAAAAATAGTGCAGAATTCTAGAATTCTATTTTGAAACCTCATACAGATTCTTGATGGATGTAGGGTAATGATTTTTCAGGTTAAATATGATTTTAATTAAATGTGATCACTGTAATTGGTTAATAACTTCTAACGTTCCCAAAGGACATTGGATTCTAGTTAAGTATTTGCTTCACTGAGGAGGAGCAACCACACCTGCTTGTTTTCCATCAGCAACACTGAAACACAATTCATGGTTGAGTCTGGTGGTGTGTAAAGGACCCTCCTTCCTGCAGGAGGAAGGGCAAAGCCCTCTGCTGAGACACAGCACGGTGGCTGAAGTCTCTGTGGGGAATGGACTCTCTGAGCTGCCATGGAAGGTAACCTATAGAGATGGCCTGACAAATCTTTGTTTTCTTCTGGCTTTAGCATTGGACTGCTAACCAGAAGGTTGGCGGTTCAAGCCCACCAGCCACTCCTCGGAAGGAAGGTTGGGCAATCTACTTCTGTAGTGATACCTCCTTGGAAACCCAAGGAGGGGTTCCTATGAGTTGGATCTGACTCGACGGCAGTGAGTTTGGTTTGGTTTTTGGTTTAGTTTTATAAAGACTCAGCCTTGAAGAGATTACTTAAAGTGGCTCCAAGGGAGATAGTTGTGGCTTTGAGAAGAAGCAAGGTGAGGGGAGAAATTTTAGAAGGACTAAGGTCTGAGGATAGAGCCCTGATGGCATGATGGTTAAGCACTTGGCTGTTAACCAGAAGTTGGCAGTTCAAAACCACCAGCCATGGGAGAAAGATGTGGTAGTCTGATTCCATAAAGATTTACGGCCTTGGAAACACTTACAGGCAGTTCTACTCTGTCCTTTAGGGTCACTATGAGTCAGAATACACTCAAGGCAATGGTTTGGGTTTTGGAAGATCTGAGGGGCCCAAGTAACATCCCATGATTATTGTAAGATGTTGAAGGTAAATGATTGTCTTCCAGACACAGGAGCTCCTAGCCTCACCAAGGATTCCTGTACCCCAAATGTAGCATGGAAGTCACTGAGCTGCTGGACTCGAAGGGACGTTGCTGCAGGCTGGAACTGAGGGCACCCCAGTGGTGACCTGTGTGGACAGAGGATCAAGGCAAAGGAGTTTCCCAAGAACCAGAGGTCAGATGTGTAAAGAAATCAGACCTTCAGAAATAACACAAATAGAATTTCTTACCATGCATTATTACATTTACACATCAACTTGCATATTTCAGGGGTTTTAAAGCCTTCTCTTCTTCTTTATCCTTGAATCCCAGGATAAAGGTCTACATTCCACCAAAAAGGTTTGGTTTATACTTTCCCTTCTTTTCAATCTCCCTTTTCTCTCATCCATTTCCAAATGAAATATCCATTTTTCAGAGTCTCAAAAGGAATCTCAATATTAATAATAGCTATGATTTTTTCAATCAACTTCACATGGGTCAGGAACTTTACATTAGTAATATTTATAATAAATTCTGCTGCTAATTACTGATATTCTGCTATTTATTGATGAGGAAACTGAGCAGAGGCTTGTAACTTATCTTAAGTTACAGAGCTTGTAAGATCAGGGCCAGATTCAAGTCCATGTCTGACTGGCTCTTGTGCAGTGGTTTTCAATCTCTGCTGTGCCTTAAAATGACCCAGAGGCATTTAAAAAAAAAAAAAAAATCCTGTACCGATGCTTTACCCACACTAATGAAGTCCAAATTCCTGGAGGTGGGGCTTGTGTATGAGTATTTTTTAACTCCCTGGGTGATTCCAATGTATAGCAACAGAACTGCTGTGGAGAACTGCTGTTCAGATGTCTCTAACTGTTGTAGCCCCTGTCTGTAAGGCAGGAAATGGAGAGAAAAGTCAATGAATCGCTCTAGTGTCTTTCAATCCCCAAACTTAGCCACAGAAATCACTCGGCACTCTGTCATTAGGCAAGGAGGCAGGACCAAACCAGCATTCCTCTTTTTGTTCAGTTTTGATGCTTGCTCTTCAGCCCTACCTCATCTTAATTTTCTCTACTTTCTTTCATGAATTAATTCCATTCTGGTTTGCTGGCACTGCAGACAGAAAGGTACCCATACCTATAAACTAGTCTTTGGGTGACTACCACCCTGACTGTCATCGTGGAGAGGGGCTGCTGTGTGCCTCAGCAGGTTCTCTTCTGTAGCTGGTTGGATGAATGATGCTCCAAAGAGCTCCATTTAGATGCTTTAATGCTAATGTAATTGTGTCAGGCAGGGAGAGTGGACAACCTGATGGAGCTGGTACACATGTCAATATCCTCAGAGCACTCCTCAGAGCCAGACAACAGGTGAACATGTGTGGTAGCCTCACGTCTGATCCCCTCTGCCAGTAAGGCATCTGGCCTTGTCACAATCCAGGTCTTTGTAAAGGTCAGAAAGTTATCTCAATGAAGACCTGTCTTGGATGTTTCCTTTACAGCCACAGGTCAGTAACTCAGAGGGTTAGGTGATGGGGCACAGTGGATAAAAGCAGGCTGTGAAGAGTGCAGCTAGATTCAGGTTCAAATGCTGCCTCTATCTACTACCAGCTGTGTCAATTTGGACAAGTTTCTTAATCTCTTTAAGCTTCTGTTTCCTCATTATAAAATGAAAATAATAAAGTTATCTTCCTCACGGGGGAATTTGGAAGATTTCAATGAGATAATGCATGTGAAACACTTAGTACAGAACCTGGGTCAAAGTGTCCAGTGAATGTTAATTATGTTATATATAGCAGTGGCTGAGCATCTATGATGTATCAATACCGAGGGTCCAAGTCTTCCACTAGTGTTCAATTGTATTTTCATTAGAAGATGTGTTAGAGTAAGAGATGTAGGCCTTGGACCTCAGGATTTCCTACACCATGACAGAGGATAATTCTTAAGAGTGAAGCCAAGCCAAAGATGTTATAAGTAAGTCAATTGGCCACCTAAATGTAGCCAGCTTGCATGGAAGGACTGTTGAGCCCTAGATGGATTTACAAGAAAGCTCTGTACTCCAAGGTGTGTTCTAGATTCTCAGACACTTCTCACTCATACAAAGTTTTCAAGCTAGAATAATAGAATGTTAGTGCTAGATGGGATCTTAGAGATCATCTGCTGGAAAATCTTCATTTTAAAATTGAGGAAACTGAACTTGAGCTTCCTGAACTCAGGGTCAATGTTCTTTCCATGACGCCACATTGTCCCTTGTAAAATACATGCATAACAGATTAGAATTGATAACACTAATCATTTCTGTTCATACCAGCCACTGGAAATACATTCTCTATCTGCCAAGATAAAAGAACAATCTAATTATGTTTAGAAAAATTAGAACTCAAGCAGATGAAGACTGGAAGTCAGGTAATAAGAATGCCTGGGTCCTAGAAATGTTCTGCCCTATCTAGCCTTGTAGTCATTTGACTCCTTTGAGATTCTCTTTTCTCTAGGGCAGGAGGATGGTAAACTTTTTCTTTAGTGGGCCAGAAAATAAACATATTGGACTTTTCAGGACGTGTGGTCTCTGTTGGAAGTACTGAATTCTTCTGCTGTAGAAAGAAAGCAGCCATAGACAAGATGCAAATGGTTAACGTAGCTGTGTTCCAAAATCACTTTATGAACTCTTGACTTTCATGTAATTTTCACATGTCATGTAGTACTGTTCTTCTCCTGAATTGTTTCAACCATTTAGAAACACAAAAACCATCCTTAGCTTGCAGACTCTATAGACAGGTAGTGGGTCTGATCTGACCCTTGTGCTGTAGTGTGTCAATCTCTACTTTAGAAAATGAATTCAGTGATATCTGCTCCACCTAATTCACATAGCATCTGCGAAACATTTTACAAGGAAATGTATCAGTTATGTAAGAATAGGGAAGCTCTGGTTTGGCATCGGTTTGAAAAAACATAATAACCTAGAGATGTGAGTTACCTACAAATGTAATGTAAGCCAAAAGTGTAGCATAACTGTTGAAACATGAATGTAGCTCTAGATTGCTTTAAGAGAATAATAGCATCCAGGTTGTAAAAAGATGTCCTAATATATTAGGGTCAGAATACATGTTTATTTCTGAAAGCCCATTTTAAGAAGACTATGAACAAATTTGGTGTTATCCCCTAAAAGGGAATGAAGATGTTGAGAGGTATTAAAACTGTTTTTACCAAGAAGAGTTGTGGAGAGGAAGGGATTTTGAATGACAGATGAAGAATGACACTTAGCACTTGGAAGATGTGGCTACCCCAGAAAAATTACAGGACCACACACAGCTGCATGTGTATCCTATGCAAAGATGGAAATCATTTCCCTCTGCTGCTGTACGGAGACTGGGTATGGAAGACAAGGGGAGCCTTCAGTGACCCCATCTAAACTCTCTCTTATCTGAAACCCTAGAGGACAGTGAAAAGGTTCCCCCACCTTCCCAGCTCCCATTCAAACAAGTCTCACTGCGGACCACCCCACCACCACCACCACCACCACCAGCCCACTTCCCAGAGTCAGGGCTACAATAGTTATGGTGTGTGGCCCAGGTGGTAATGGCATGGGACAGATTGTCTCCTTGGCTTTTCCCTTAAGCTCAGTTTGATCTTGTGTTGGGCCCAAATAATGGGTGGAAAGGGGTTTATTGGAAAGATTTCCATAATTGGTTATTGGTGAAGAGATGGGATTTTTGAAGACAGAGTTACTTAGCAAAATGGCTAGTTATTCAAAGGCAGAACACTGGAAAAAGAGAGGGGAAAAAAGAGATGCGAATGAGAATGGTATCCTCCAGCCACCTCCCAGACTGCCTGCAGAACCAAGCTTTTCTCAGCTCTGAACCCTGAACTGAGTGGAAGGTCCCACTCCTTGTCCCACATAACCCAATGCTCAAAGAGCCATTTCTAATGGCACCAACTGACTTCAGGTGTTTAAGGAAAGAACTGAGTGTCTTACCCTTCTCGTTCATCATCTATGTTGTAATACACCTGTGGAACAAAACAATATGTTTACTGTAGTTCAGAGCCAAGAAATGGAAATAGTTTGCATGATACATACACTTTCCTAAGGTACACACTGTCCCTTAAAAAAAAAAAAAAGACAAAACTTAAATGAGGCTACGTGTGTGTGTGTGTTTATTTCTAAGGAAATGCAAATTTCACCTCCTCATGTTCTGCCTAGGATTAATTCTTAGATTTTAATAAAATAAATTGGAAATCTGATGATTTCTGGGTAAAGGCAGCCTGTCAGATGACCTATGGCCCTAAGCCAACTCTTGCTATGGACATTAAGAAAATCTTCTGTAAGGATCTAAAAATCATTGTTTCAAAGGGTTTAGGCTTGCAGGGTGGCTTTACAGAGAGGAGTCTGAGTAGCCAATCCCAATTGATCCTCACAGGGCACTGTGCTGCTGAGGAGAGGATGGTGAGCAGGAGGGTCCATGGTGATACGGCAGTGATACCCCATGGCCATACCCCAGGCCTCTCATTTATTCTCCAAGGCCTTCAAGTACCTGGCATCTCACAACCACAGAGGCGTAAGAGTCAACACTCTGCAGGCTGGGAAAGGTCATTTGACTCTAGAAGGTGTTTCTGGCCAGAAGGAGGGTATCTGAGGACAGATTTCTTTAGGTGGTCAGCAAGGTGGCAGGCATAATTCACTAAAATCACACAGGTGATCTTAGAGAAATTATGAAACATCCTTGATTATTTTTGTCTATTTTTTAAATAATTGCAGTAAATAAATATATAATATAACAAACCATTTGCCATTTCAACATTCTTCACATGTACAATTCAGTGACATTAATTATGTTTGTCTTGTGGGTCAGCCACCACCATTATCTGTTTCCAAATGACCCCATCACCCTTAGCAGAAGCCAGGTGGCCCCAAAACAGTGACTGCCCTTTCTCCCCTCCCTCCCACCTGCCTCTGGTAACCATTAACAAACTTTGGTCTACTTTTTATGAACCTATGTATAGAAGAGATCTGCTATGTATGTAGGGCCTCCTGACCCAGTAAGTTCTAAAAATTAATTGAGGGATGTTAATGAGCTTTAGTGAGAATGCTTCCAATTCATTTTCATTTGAGTGCAGAGCAAGATCTGAATTCGTATCAAGATTTTGCATACTCACCTCGAAAATAGCCTCTGATTCTAATATATTTGATCACTATCCCTGCCCCTGCAGCCTGGCAGAGAAACAGCTATGTCTAGACCTACAACTTCCCCCACAGACTCTCTCAAAGGCTGTTGGTAGCTCTCGGGATGTTGCCAAGCCTAGACCTAGTTATGTAACACAACTCTGGTTACCTGGAACTCTGGGAGTGAGTCATTCTAGTCATTAGCTCAGGTTTCCACTAAAACTTTTTCCTCTTTGGATTTTTCATGTCTATTGTTGAATTATATACTTTATTTCTTCTCAAACAGAAAACAATTAAAGTACATTGTTTTTTCTCCCCCCAAATTTCAATGTGGCATCCTGAGCCCCCGTCACTGTGACATACTTAAAACAGGACTGTCCATTTGAAGCACATGGGGTGGCTCACATGAGAGAGGAAGCATGGGCTAGAGCAATGGCCACACAACTGGGTTTTTAAAAACAAACTCATGATGTTGGCTTGTGTTTTGCTTATCTCCTTAATTACAACATAAGGTATCACCCTACCTGAAGACCTGGCAGTGGGACCAACAGCCTTCTGCAAGATTGTTGGTGATCCAAAGATGGAACCAGGCTTCTCAGAAGAGGCTTTCTGCCCTCTTGAATGATCCTGACCTCACTGTCCCTCTCACTGTCCTTGCGTTGTCACTCCTCCTCCTCTAAGGTAATGGCTCACTGCATTCTCCTTGTTGGTGGCCTGGCTCATTGCACTGATTTGATTCTCAAATATTAGAGTGCATAAAAGACACCTGGAGACTCTGTCATTGTGCACATCCCTAGGCCCTGCTTCAGAGATTGTCATTTGAAAGGTCTGGAATAGAACTCAGGAATCTGAGTTCTTATCAAGAACTTGCTGTGATTTATGGCGACAATTGCTTACAAATCACAGTATGAGAAACTGTTCTTGAGGGTGTGAGGGAGGAGTGGGGCCCTCCTTGGGTTCAGGGGCTGTGAGGAAGGCTGATGCATGCAAAGTATACGCTATCCAAAAGAGGAAGCCTCTGCACCCACCATCACTCCCAAGCTCCCCTTGCCACTTGTATTTTAAAGGCAGCATCTTCACAGGCAATGGTGCACATTAGGGCTTTCATGTGAGTGTAAGTCTGTAGGTAGCCACAGCGTTTTCACATTAGATTCATTCTCTCATAATAGTTTTTGAAAATTCTCTACAGAATATTCTGGTCCACATGTGAATTATTAATGAGACAAAGAGGGCTGACTAGAAGACATTCACTTGCCACCCAGTATCCTGGGGTGAACTGGAATCACTGTGCCAGGGCTGAGGTGCCTTTGACATGGCTCAGGGGAGGTCTCACCAACCTTGAGAACTATAGGCAGTGTTGGATTGCCCAATAAGCAAGGTAAGCATGGGCTTACTTGTGCTTACTTACTAATCTGTAGTGAATAATTTCACAATTGTTTTTACCACATCAAAGATTCAACCTCTAGGCATGGCTGGCATCTGTCTGTCTCTCAACGCCACAGCACCTTCTTACAAAATCAAAGCCTCTTGTCAAATTTATAATTCTTGACAGGGACAGAATTCTTGAGGGGATTACTTGTGTTTATTTACTAATCTGTAGTGAGCAATTTCATGTGTTCTTTGTGTTCACTACAGGTTAGTAAGTAAGCACAAGTAAACCCCTGCTTACCTTGATTATTGGGTAATCCACCCTGACTATAGGTCTCCTTGTCCTGCAGTAGTGCAGAGCTGTCAAATGGCTGAATTTAGCAAGCCTTAACACCTGCAGTGGTTACTGGGATGCACGATATTGCTTGCCTCCCTTCTTATGATGATAAAATATCCCATCATATGACCTGTGACTGCTGGCTCTTGTGCATGTCAAAACTGGCCAATCCCTGCCCCATCCTCAGTTCTAACATGGTGACCACTGCTGTCTTTCCTCCTCCTTTTCAGGCTCTCTTGTCTCTGGACAGCTCTCCTAGGTTGCTAGGAAAAGGTAGCCTTTTAGAAGACTCAGCCAGCTCCTTTCCTTCCATCATGTAAGTTGACCAACCACAGCATAGTCACAGGTTTTTCTTGAGCACAGCTGAGTGTGTTCTTTTGTTACGAGGAGCTCAAGGCAGACTCCCTCACTGGCTCCCTTAACTCTGAACCTGAACCATGAGTTAAGCCTCAGGGCTTAACTTTAGAAGGGCAGCTTCCAGATAGCCAGGGTTTCACTGTAAGGGCACTGACTTCACTGATAGCCAAAGGGGATGCTGAGAGCACTTCTTTGCAATGGCGGAAACCAGAAAACAGTAAAGGTTGCACTTTTCCTTCTGATTAAGCCACAGAGTCAGAACTCAGGACACAAAGGGGCAAGTGAGGTCACATGGTGACAGTGCTGAGCAGCCAGGTTGGGTCACTTTTCCTCTTAAGGTTTATTTAGAGCTTGGTATATTTCAGAGAAATCTTGCCGAGAGAACAGGTCAGGCTGTCAGCTTTGACACTGAGCTGAAGCCAGAATCAGGAAAGTAAACAATGAAAACAGTTTAACTCAATTAGCCCCTCTTTTGAAACATGTGAAAACTTAGCTCCTAAAATCCCACAAGGCAAAGAGTGTAAATCCATAAGTTAACCATCCCTTCCTTGGGGGTGGATGGGTGCTGGAGTTCATATCTTGATAAATCAGGAATGCCTTCCTTTCTTCTCTGGGTCATTGTTCCTATCAAACAAGTAAGACTAGATGGGAATGTTAAATTAATTTTTAGTAGAAATGTGCTGTAAGAAAAAAGTGTGAGTATTTTGTTCCTATGTTGTGTCATAAACAACAAAATGCTCCACTTGGACAATGGCTTTGTCCCACAAATACAATGAAACAAGACAGTAATCACTATGAGGCAAAATCTCAAGAAAGAGAAAATGGAGTCAATAAATGATTTCTACTGCAATAGACAAAGGTCAATTCCAATGAGTAGCTGGACACTTAGAATGGAAGAAAGACTTGAACGTGCTGGACATTTCCTCAAAGGACCTTGGGCTTAAAAGAAAACTAATCAATACAAAATGTATTAAAATTCAATTTGTTTGGTGAAGGTACTTATAGTGTTCTTTTTCTGCATGTAATTTATCACATAAAAGAAATAATATGAAAGATAATACTAAAAGGGGAAAAAAAATCATCCATACCTCATAATCTTACCAAGCGAGTGTCACAATGTTTCTTGTACCCTTCAAATTCAGGTTTATACTCAGACTCACATTAAAAACACAAACTGGTACTCTGCTTCATTTTTTTTTTTCTCTGACTATTATCATAACTAGGAGTTTTGGTAGCATAGTGCCTAAGGCATTTGACTGCTAACCAGAAGGCTGGTGGTTCAAACCCACCAGCCACTCCTCAGAAGGAAGACTGGACAATTTACTTCCGTAGAGATATCTCCTCGGAAACCCAAGGAGGGGTCACTATGAGTCAGATCTGACTTGACAGCAGTAAGAAAGAGAGGGAGATTATCATAACTAGTTTCCATGTTGCTACACGGTCTCCACAATTATGACTTTAATGGCTGCACAATATTCCATCAACTTGAATTACCATAATGAGTTAACCATTAGACATTTATGTTATTGTAACATTAACACCTTCATTTCATTTGTAGATACACGTAGAATTCAGGAATCATTAAAAGAGGTTTTTCCAGGGCCTCATGTTTATTTTGGTGTGAAATTATTTGCCCATTCAATGGGAATTGTTCATTTACTAAGGAAAAAAAAAATATTGATTGATTGGTTTTTATTTCACCAAAGTGGTTTTCCCCCTGTAGAAAGCTAAAGAAAAGCCCTGGTGGTGCAATAGTTAAGTGCTTTGATTGCTAACCAAAAGGTCAGCGGTTCAAACCCACCAGCTATTCTGCAGGTGAAAGATATGGCAGTCTGCTTCTGTAAAGATTATGGCCTTGCAAACCCCATGGAGCACTTCTATTCTGTCATATAGGGTTGTTATGCGTCTGGATTGACTGGACAGTAATGGACAGTAATTTGGCAAGCCTATAAAGCTATAAGGAGCCTATAAAGCTATAAGGTGTAGTGGATAAGGCATTTGGCTGCTAACCAGAAGGTCAGTGGTTCAAACCCACCAGCCACTCGGCAGAAGGAAGATGGGGCGATATACTTCAGTAAAGATTTACAGCCTCAGAAACCCAATGAGGGTCGCAGTGAGTCAGAATCGACTTGATGGCAGTGAGTTTGGTTTTTGGTTTAGTATAAAGCTATAGGGAGCTCTGGTAGCATAGTGCCTAAGGCACTTGACTGCTAACCAGAAGGCTGGCGGTTCAAACCCACCAGCCACACCTCAGAAAGAAGGTTGGGCAATCTACTTCCGTAGTGATACCACGTCAGAAACCCAAGGAGTGGTCGCTATGAGTCGGGTCTGACTTGACGGCAAATAACAACAACAATAAAGCTATAAGTGCACCTCAATTTCCCACCATTAGATGGAGCTCTGTTACATCAGGCTAATCCCACGTGAAAATGCTAACAAAAAAACCCAAACAAGTTTTCCTTCTATCAGCCTTTTTATTTCCTTCCCTCTTTCATTACTTTGTCAACACTTTCTGAATATAGCTCACTCTTTTCTTCCCCTTTGTAAATGTTTCTACTTCTGAGACATTCTTTCTTTTAAAACTCATTTTCTGTAGAAAATGACCTTGACTTTTTGTACAAAGTGATTACAAAGTGATTCCACCTTAAGGCTCTACCACCCCTGTGGACAGATGGCAGGTAGATGTCAGCAGGGAGATCATACCTGTCCTGTCCTCTGCAGGTTTGCAAAGTGCACATCAGGAATGAAGAGAACCGGCTGGGAATGCAGATCAGGCATCGTTTTGAAGTAGGTGATGTCACTCTTCTTCTGTAGAGGTATCGTGGCCAACTTCCCATCAGAGGCTAGATAAGATCACAAAGCCCATTCATAAGAGGGTTATGCATGACTGAGAAGTCTCAACTGCAAGCCCTAGTCTTAGCTAAAGTTCATAATTTTCTCCTATAAAAATTTTTAAATCCCATGGATGTGGACACACTTTAAAAGTCCCTATCTCCCAGATTACAAGTGAGAGGCATTGATGTTCCTTCTTGCTCTCTATGCACCCTAACATCCCTGTCTGTATAAGGAGGATGCTGGGCTCCATGATATTACAAAGTCCCTCCTCGCTCAAACACTCTGTGATCATGTGATTCCGTTTGCTTTTCACAGGAACAATTTGGCCCATCTCCACTGCCCTAGAAAAGCAAGCCACCCTTTTTTGCAGATGCATAATATTACCTGCAACCCACTTCTTTCCACCTGTTCCCCAGTGGACCCAGCCCAGCTGAAGTCCAGCCCCAGGAGGGGAAAGTCATTCCCAGGGAAACTCACAGTTGGTGCACTGGGTTTGGGAGGCCTGGCCTTTCCCTTTCTTCCTGTTTTGCTTCCTCTCTTCATCTCGAATTTTTCTTTCTGCTCCCTGACAGCGAAAAACAAATACAGACAATGTCAGGCATGTTATCAGAGCACACAAGCGTACTGCCAACATGTAAGTCACAGGACATGAAACAAAACAGGGGGAAGAGGAGACTGGGTGGCCCCATTCCCACTCCTCCGGAGAGGTTGAGCCTCAGCTCCGAAGGCTTCATGAGAGAGACTGCTCATTGGTCCACTCTCCAGTTCGAACCTCTGAGTGATCCTACCTCTCCCAGATTTTCTTCTTCTTTTGGTCTCTTGCCTATTTAAAGAACTTCAGTTTTAAATCTATACAGAAAGAACAGACTCAGTTCCCTATCACAGCAAAGCAACTTTAAGTGATTATAATAAAATGTCATAAGGTGAAGCACTGACTCGCTAACACCATTCTAAGGCATGGAGTGGCATTAAAGTTGAGTGCGGGTTCCCTATAAAGTTTTTATTTTGGTTGTTACAGAATTTTTAAAAGATCTTAATAGTGATGGGAATGATGGGGAGAGGGGGCCTTGAGAAACTAGGCAAGATGTAGGATCACTTTGAACATCCAAGTATGACTTTTGTTTTAATATTTTCCTATGTGCTCAGAGATGCTGCTCAATCAACAAGGTAGAGAGAGGTTTGGTGTCTTTGTCTCTTTTTTGCTCCTCTATTCCTTTGAATCTGAAATTTTTATTGGCTCTTCTTGCCAAGTTGCCAAACCATATGCATTGTATCTATAGATTGCTTTGGGTAGTACTGACATTTTTACAATGATCAATCTTCCTGTCTAAGAAGATGGCATATTCTTCCATTCATGTAGGTCTCTTTGAGTTTCTTGTAGTAGTGTTTTGTAGTTCTTTGTACCAGTTTTTTGTGTCTCTTTATTTATTCCAAAGTATTTTATCTTTTCAGTAGCTATTGTAGGAGCTCTGGTAGCATAGTGGTTAAAGCATTCAGCTGCTAACCAAAAGGTCAGCAGTTCAAAACCAGAAGCTGCTTCATGGGAGAAAGATGAGACTGTCTGCTTCCATAAAGATTTACAGTCTTGGAAACCCTGTGGGGCAGTTCTACTCTGTCCTAAAAAAGTCGCTGTGAATCAGAATCGACTCGATGCCAGTGGGGTTTTCTTTGGTTTTTGTCGTTTTGTACGTCTTTCCTTCCTTGACTTTGAAGATTCCTTGCTTATCTTCTTCTCTTTTTTGGTGAGTCTGCTATATCAGCCTTGCTATCTCATCTTCCTCTTCAAATACAGATATTCCAACAAGGCTTTCCTTTTTCCTCTCTCTCCATCATGGGACAATTCATCTGCTCACAATGTTTACATGACTTTCTAGACAGGTGATGCCCAGATCTACATGCCCAGCCTACACTTCTCCCGTGAGTTTCAGATCCACATTTACAGTGGCCAGCCTTGGTATCAGCACAACGAAGGGGCAGTGAAATACAAACTGACCAGCAGCAATCTTCTAACCCTTTCAAAACTACTCAGAGTAACACACACACAAAGATTTGACAATATAAAAATGTAATGCTTCTATTTAAAAAAAAAAAAACAGCAAAATGAAAACACAAAAGACAAATTGATGGAAATATTTCCAATAAAATATCACACTAGTTAAGTCATTAATGTATAAACAATGATTCAAACTTAAAAGCCCACTAAGGAGCTCTGGTGGCATAGTGCCTAAGACATTTGACTGCTAACCAAAAGATTGGTGGTTCAAACCCACCAGCTGCTCTGCAGAAGGAAGATGGAGCAATCTACTTCAGTAAAGATTTACCACCTCGGAAAACCAGTGGGGGTCGCTAAGAGTTGGACCCAACTCAATGGCAATGAGTTTGGTTTTTGGAACATACTAATGGAAAAATGGACAAAGGTCATGAAATAGGCAATTCATGGATGATACAAAAATGGTGAATATATAAATGTGTGTGTTTATATGCGTGTGTGTATATATAAGTAGAGAGACACCATGGATGGTGCAAATGAGCTCATCTGCTAACTCAAAGTTTGGAGTTACAAGTTCACCAGGGTCATCTCAGAAGTGTTATACACATACACACACATATACACATATATGGGATTCACTTCAAGTTTTGAACATATATATTCAAATCATATATAGGTTCAAGTTAAAACAATGAGATACATTTTTGTTTATCCTGTGAGTAAATTATTTTAAAAGCATATTTCTAACTCAGGCTCCACATGAGGCAAACATGACACAATGGGAATTTGTGATCAATGAAGATATCATAAAGAAGATGACTTTTGAGCCAATTCTTGAAAGATGAGTAACAATAATTATACTTACATGATGCTTAACCCATACCAGGAGAGTTTTAAGAGCTTTCCATCGTGAAGATCTGAACAGTTACTGTATATTTAACCAGATATGCTTAAATATGCAATGTATACATCAAAAAACTTAACTATCAAAGGGAGTAATTATTTATACTATTTCACTTTAAGTTGTGAATTGTCACTGGTACTTGTAGACCATGGAAATTCACAGCAAGAAGCAGATAAAATATAGAAGTATTTGTTCCAGAAGTCTGATAAACTGATTTTTACCAAGATAAAAAATTGTTCAGTAGAGTTTGTATAAGTACCTAGATAACACATAATATTTTCAGAAAAGAAAATATTAAGTGTATAGACATCACTGTGTTCAAATGGATGTGCAATATAAGCAAAAAAAAAAAAAAAAACACCACCACTACCAGGTTGATTCCAACTCATAGCAACCCCTACTGGGTTTCTGAGGCAGTAAATTTTTACAGAAGTAGATTGCCCCATCTTCCCTCAGCAGAGCAGCTGGTAGGTTTGAACCACCAACCTTGAGGTTAGCAGTCAAATGCCTTAGGCACTGCGCCACCAGCTCCTTAATATAAACAAAAGGATCTCCATAATACCAAAGTTTATAGTGGGAATTGGCATTCACTTTTAGTTGGGTCCACATAAGGCATATTTCTGCGTATTTGAAGATAGCATTTAATATAGTAGAAATGTGAATCTTTAGTCTCTACCACTATGAATTACAATCCACCCAAGACACATCCCAACCTTTGTCAAGCAATTTTATTTCTGAATTACAGTTTCATTTTGTGCTATTTCTATGAAGAAAGGATCTGGAATTAACCTGTTTCAAGATTTATATACATTCAATATAGATTTTTAGGACATTAAGTCACCTGATGATTATCTTACAGACATTCTTTGATATGCCAAACCCAGAAGATCAACTGGTAACACAGAGTAGAGCATAGGAGTAGAGCATAGTATTGGCACTATATTATATGAGAAATTTCCTGACATGTCCAGATATAGCATGGCAAAACAATTCTGACAACCCACTAAAACTCGACCTCATTGGTTACTTGGAACCAACACCAATTGTTTACTCAGCATTCTCCAACAGTTTTTTCAGTTTGTTTTTTTTTTTAACCCAGTTAGGGTAATTATTAGATTGATGTTTAAAATAGGAGATATTGGAAATTCCATCTGTTTTCTCTTTGGCAAAGGGTTTAACATGATTCTTTCTGGGTTTTTTATGTCTTTCTAATAAGTACTTTTCTTTCCTTGCCAACCATTACATGCTTACCATGACTTAGCAGGAAACTAGTGTTTTGGATAAACAAACACAGTCCTCTTTTTTTTTTTTTTTTATTATTTCCCTTTTAAAAGTAAAATAACTGTGAATGAAAATTTATTTTAAAATTTTACAAACAAAATAATTGTATGTACCCTCCTAGCTTCTTATATTCCCTCTTATTCTCGGTCATAGGTGATCAGCCTTATAACAGTCTCTGTTTCTTGTGTGTATTTTTTTCATCGTCTTTGTTGTTTAGTATTTATTATACCAGTACTTCGGAAAAAACAATTATGTAAGTATTCATTAAGACCTCTCTTTGCTACATTCAATACCAACTACTGAATTAGAGGAAATTTAACTGCCCAGTCCCTTCAACCCATCCTTCACTCTCTATTCCCTTTACTCTTGACTTTGTTCTCCACTTCCAAGGAGACTCGTGGAGGGAAATTTTACAATTTCCCTTGAAATATCTGTAATTAAATTAGAGACTTCAAAGGCAGGTACTTTGAAATGATCTCAGATGCTCTCCCATTTCTACTTTTAAAACTCCCTTTTGCATATCACTTGAAAATAAAGTTTTCTTAATGTTCAATATGTTGAATTAAAGATATAAACTGATTTTGTTGTTGTGTTTTTAAAGACTAGCTTGACTCTTTGTTGAGGTTTTCAACTATCAGTTCTCATTTTGGTATTTTATGTACAAGATTATTTATCATTTTAAAGATATGAGTTTTAGAATCAGGCTTGTATTTGCATCTGATGCCTCTACTTTTCTACTGTATGACTGCAGGTAAGTTACTTGTGCTTTCTGACCCATCTATATAATGACTTGTTCTATTTGATTAACTGGATGCTGGATTATGGAGATTACCTGACTCTCCCTCAGATAGCTGTGCTGGTCTAACAACTGGACAATTGGTGCTAACTGAAATCATTATGATCTGAAAGGCTACTGAGATTTTTGGAGTATTTATGGCTGTACTGAATGTCCCTATTCCCTGTACAGTTCTACTTAATATGCTTCCCTTCTCTCTTCCTGTGACCATCACTGCTTTCTGCTGCCACTGATCTACTGCATCTGTACTGTTACTGTCTTCCCCGTCATTTATAATTTGATCTATAGGTAAATATATATTTAATGTTTATCATCAGTCTTTGTGTCAATACCTCTTCAGTTATATTGTTATCTAAAGTTTGTTCTCTAGTAGATCCCCAAGAAGTAATATTCCCTGGGTTTTTGCTTTTTATAACAGTTTGTCTACAATCTCTCTATCTGAAAGTCACTTTGGTTGAATATGAAATCATTGGCTCACACTTTTTTCTTTACTTGATTACCTTAAATATCATTGTCCTTTGACACCATATTGCTATTGAAAAGTCATGATGATCTAGCTTTGTTTTCCTTATATGTGATTCATTATATACTTATTAATGTATTTTTACTTAGATACTCAAATGATTTTTTTTTTTTTTTTTTTAAGTCTAATAGCTTAATTATTTGGTATTAGCTGCCCTGGGTTAATTTCCCCAAGTACATAGTCTGTTCTCCAATATATATCTTTTCTATTTCAAGTTTTCCTGATTTATCATTCATTCTGTTTCATTGTTGTAGTTTTCATCCTCAAAGATTTCTATTATGTGTATATTGGATCTTCTTTATCTCTCTTCTATAGATCTATTTTCTCTTCCATCTCTATTTCTTCTAAATTTAAAAATTTTGCACCTTCCCAACTTGCATTTTTTAAGGCATTATCCATTATTTTTACTCACTCTAGTGCTGCTTCTAGTGCAGTCTTTATTTCTGAAATACTTTAATTCTTTATTTCTAAATTCTGTCTGAGTTCTATCAACTCACTTTTTAAATCATTTCATTCTCCAAATATCATGTCTGAATTTTTCAAATTCTGCTTTATATTGATCTTCATAACCTGGACCATTTTCTTAATTTCTTTTTCACTTATTTTGAGCCATTAGGGTACCATTTTTACTTGTTTTGCAGACACATCTTTCTGGCATGCATTCATCATCCACAGAAGTCAGTCTGATCTTAATCCCTTTTTTCATGAGACATTATATGGCATTTGACTGCTTTTCTTTTCTGCTGGGCATTTTTAAATGAAATGGATGGGCTAGGATAGTTCTTCTAGCTTCATGGCTTACATATTCCCTCTTCTGTTGTGATTCCAAAAGTGATAACAAATAGTATTGTGTTTTTTGAAATCTGCCTCCTTTGTTTCCTTCCCTCCCTTATTTTTATCTGGACTTTTTCTTTCCTTTATGCCTTTTTTTCCCTGTTCTATTCAATTTGGACTCTATCTCCAACAGTTTTTCCTCAGAGCAGAGTTTTGCACTAGGGACAAAATTTTGTGACTTTTGAGAGTTCATTAGGTCCAAGTCACTTGAATGTTCAGTTCTTCTGTACTCAGGAGCAAATTAGCATCTGCAGAATTCATATTTCCCAACATCACTTTCGCATGCTGTTCTCAGATGGCCCATATTCCAGTAAGCACCTTTGGGCAGTTTTATGGGTATCTTGTTCATTGTTCATTGGTCATCAAGTGGTCCTGTTGCTTTCCCTCTACTTTCCCTCACAGACACTACTATTACACAGGTCTTCAAATTGTCAAGCTTGGTCTCACTCAAATTTTGCATTTATGGGTATGTCTATCACTTAATTGTAGAATTTTACCTTTTGCTATTCTAATTGTGCTGTCTCTTTTCTGGTGGAATTCAGAATGATTTAAAAACCATACCATCATCTAAATGTATATGTATTAATGAACTTATTTTATAAGTACTATTTCCATTCCAAAAAAATCCTAAATGAGATCCCATTTAACCCATAAAATAATAAAGGTGACATTGACATATTCTGTAACAGGATCTATAAGCAGTAAAAACTATTAATCTGTTATTTCAGCCATCTAATTGAATCAGTCTCATGGTACAGTCATGTCAATTAGTCATTAAATTCATGGTAAAAATTATTGACTAAAAAAATTATATTTGACAGATGACTATCAAGATAGCTAATAGGAATCGGGAGTAAAAGATTACCACTCCCTCTGTGATTGATACAGTGATTGTTTTGACACCATTAGACAAGAGAAGGTGATAAGGTGGTAATGTCATTAAAAGTAATATCTAATAACAAAGATACCTTTATGACAAACTGTCATCTTTACTCACTTTGTCGCAGAAGACCTTGATCTGGCAATAAGCTCTATGAATGGGTTTATTGCTACGATTATTATAACTGTATGTATCAATCTGAATCATCAAAGGAAGTCCTTTCACCCCTTTTTGGGAGGAAAAATCTGTACTCAGGCAATTCACAGTGATGAAAATCTGAGGAAGAGAATGAGAAAAGAGATAATTCACCTGTCACAATAAAATGAGATACCAAACAATGCATACTCCATGTTAAGCACATAATAAGTGATATATTTTATGTTATGTAATTATAAATTCATTAAAAAATTTTCTTTCATACTTCATCTTGAAGCTGATGATTTTAGCTACTTTCTTTAAAGTATATTGGCAAATTCTTACATTTTGTTTTAAACTTGCATAAGTGACCTGGGAAAACCAATTATCTCCTTAACATGTTAAAGGTGTCAGTTCTAACAGTTATATAATTTTCTTAATCTCTGACCTTCAGAAAAATCAAAATATAAGATAATACCTTCCCTTGAACACTATTGCATTGGTTTTCAATTTTCCTTTTACATAATCTTTAAGATCCCTCCCTGAAGGGCAGAATGCAAATGCTAACTTATTGTCGTGTTATCAAGAAAGTAAAAGTGGAGGTGGTAAAAGTCACGCATGAGACAGGAGGGAGAAAAATTATAGTATAGTAAAGAAGGCACTCACTGCTTTAGAATTGTACACAAATGTATTCGAAAAGCCTCTTGATTGGAAGTATTTTCTGACCCTTGTTTTATTTCATTCACCTGAATGAACTTTTCATTAACCTCCAAACCCTTGAACTGAATCAATTGGAAGTATTTTCTGACCCTTGTTTTATTTGGTCCCTGGACTTCTCATTCACCTTCAAACCCTTGAACTGAATCCTCTTGAGTCATGGCAACATCATACAGAGCAGCCCTGCAGAAAGCGAAGACTCACTACCACGAGGTGTGACAGAACTGTCATTTAGATTTCCAATTTTACTACAAGATCTAATCTAATTCATTTCAAGCCCAATGTCTGTAAGTAATTTATACAACCAGGCGCTTCATTGTTAGTGCCATAGCTCTAGAAAGATCATTTTTATTTTATTTTTGAGTTCCTCACTTGACAATAAGAAACACATCAGGGAGGCACTGCATCAATTGCAGTCAAGGCCATCTGACAGGTCTTAGTGACATGCTAATTACAATTATCTTGAGCATTGTGCCACAGGCACACTCTGAAAGTAAGTGTCTAAAGATGATCCAGACCACGGATACAATCATTTCACTCATTATTTAAGTCATTTGTTCATTTATTCTGCACACAACTACTCCAACCCACAATGGGTCAAACACAATGTCAGACACATTTCCCTGTCTCATGGAGCTGACAATTCAAGGGGAAGACAGATGAGCAATCCAACAATGACCAACACAGAGTGGTCAAAGCTTTCCAGATGAGAGGTATGCAGAGGCCACAAGAACACAGAACAGAGCGCTGAACCTGGAGGGCAATAGTAAAATATGAAACCCACAGAGACAGTAGGCTCAGAACAGGGACCCCATAAATACATGTCCTTCACTGAGGAATGGTAGAGAAAAAGAGAACAGCTATAGATGGAAATGTCAGATGATCCAAAGGCAATGAGTGATGAATACTACTAAGAAACAACATGCTGTGCCTGATTCTCCTACTGAAATTCCAGGGTAAAATACCAACAAGGCCACCTAGAGCAGAAAATGCTACCCACTGCTCCTAGAGATTCCCCTAATTGCAGAGAATTTTTATTAAACATTCATTCATGCAACGACTCAGTTCCTAAGACTGTGCTAGACATTAGTTATGGTCCCTGCAACCACAGAGTCAAGGACTACATGGGAAGAGAGAAAATATAATGGTGCTCTCAAGATTAAACATTAGCTTCATCAAACATTGATCTGTAGGTCAAAAAAAGTAGACTTTTCTAGGAACACTTGATTCCTTTTATTGTTATTGTTATTACTGACAATGGAGTTATCTTGGCCAGAATGGATAAACACCGCTTGATGTCAGCAAAATGATCACTCTTCTGAGCTATGCAGTTTTCCGTGATCTAGAACATTTGTTTCATATTAGCAATCTCCCTGTTGGTGGCTATAACTCTCATGTGCCTCAGACCAGAAGGGTTTTGTTCCACTCCCTCATAAAGCTTGTGTACTACAGCAAAAGCCAGACAAGAAAGGTGTACTGACAAATAGTCCCTAAATTATGAGAATTCACAGTTGGCTCACTGATGTATCCATACATCACTCACAGTGGACATTTACTCAGACAGGCAGGAAGCAATATTAATGGCGGTCTTGTCAGCTCCTAGTCTCAACTAAGAGAGCTGGAGTGATGTGTATTTACAAGGGCCACTTGAGTAGGAGAGAACCACAGAAATAACAGATGCTTAGTGGTAATACACTACAATAAATAGCCTACATTCTCCTTGGAGGAGCTATAAAAATCAGTCACCCAGTAGAGATGGTCTTTAAAAGTCAAATGAACTACCACGAACTGACTCCACCAGAAGACACTTAAACAAGGGCCTGTTGATAGAAATAGAGACAGGCCCCTTAGCAGAAGGCCCAATGGGATCTCTTTGATTCATGGCATCCTAATTCGTAAAGAGCGAACAATGTGAGAATTTGCCTTGTCTGCTACAATGTGTTGGCAGCTCACAGATTAAACATTAGAGTTATCCTAACAGGCAGGGATTTTATAATGTGGTTGGCGGTGCTTTCCTCTCGCCTGGCTGCCTGACCCAGCAGCAAAGCACAGTTTCAGTGCCTGATGGTATCAATCCTAGTCTCGCTGCACTGCCCTCAGAACCCAAATGGTTGAACTTTAACTGCAGTTGAGTGGTGGGGGATGGAAAGGCAATGGAAAGGCATTAACTAAAACCTTGGCTTGGAAACTGATAAGTGTTCATTAGTTTCATCCTGCAAACCCAGCCATGGCCCAGCTCCACGAGAGCCAGCAAATGTGAGAGCAAATTTCTTGAAAGTTTATCTACAAAGCACTGGTTTGTAAATGTGGATTAGAGAGGCTTAGGGAAAAGGTCTGATTTCCCCTATCAAATGCTGATCCAAATGTCAGGTACAGAGAGTTCTTTTTAACTTCAGTAGGAGCCTGATTATATAAAGAGCACATAAATGACGTGAACAATTGGTCTGCCACCAAGAGTTATGAGTAGTGTATGTTTGCATAATATGTTCAAAACCTCAGTTACTTGTTTTCTTATGATGCTGATAGTGTATAATTTATTTTTCCCAAAAATATTCACTGCCAGGTGCTCTCAGGCAAACTACAGTTATAATTTCCATTCTCTCATTGTTGCAAAGATTAATTGAGATAGAAAGAATTTTTCTAAATGGATCAAGAATTTTCCAGAAATAGAGACAGGCTCATGACATTTGACATGTTTTAATAAAATCACGTTATATATGAATGATAATTTCCACGTTGTGGTTACTACACAAGACAAGTGACTGCTTAGGTCAGAATGCAATATGCATAGAGTGAGATTTGTAAAATATACAGATCAATGAGCTTTAGCATTGCTACATTAACTTGATTCTTAAACATTTTTCTGAGAGTTTGGCATTAAAATAAAGTAGGACTCCATTTGATTTAGAAGGCAATTTGGGGTTTAAAGAAACTAACTTTGATTTAATGTAATGTCTTTGTTTTCTTCTTTAAACAATTGTAAATTTGCACCTTCAAGAAGGTCCCTCTGACTAAGGATTGAAAAAGATATTTGTATCCTGATGGTATAGGACCCTGAAGTTCTTTTCCAAGACTTTACATGTGCATTAGTCTCTAAGTTACAGGTATGAGAACTATATATCAAGAAATAATTAATTTTTGTGAATTGCTATATGGCAAGTGAATCTGCTCTGTAAACTTTCACTCAATTACAAAAAGAAAAAAGAATTTTAATTTTAACCCTAGAACATAGTCCCTTTTCACTAAAAAAATTATATAACTGTTTTTTCTTGCCCATTTCCCTATGTTCTCTTCTTGCACCTTGCAATTATTAAAAACTTTACAGTCTGTTTTGTTACCTTTCATTATTTTCCTTCCATTTGGATTTGGTTGTATTTGAGCGCAGATGCAATGCAAATTGAGAGAGAAATAACATAGACAATAATAACATGTGGAATCTCAATCCTGGGCACTCATTCATTTCCTTCATCCATTAATTCATCAAATATTTATCAAGTGTCCTTTCTCTGTGCTTGGCATTATGCCAGGAAATGGGGACAGAGAATGATAAGACAGACTCCCTGCCCCCAGAAGCTTGCTACTTAGTGGAGGATCAAAGAAACTACTAGATTACCTGAAGCATCCATTTAGGTGGCACTTTTAGGAAATGATTTAAAACTATATTTCCTACAGATACGCTAGGTAGGTATGCATACACACAGACACACATTCAATATACTCACCACAGTTTCCCATATTCTTTTATTTGTTTGGGTGACAGTTTACAGAGAAAACTGGTTTTCCATTCAACAATTCATACACATTTTGTTTTGTAATGTTCTTTGCAATCCCCGTAACATCACACAGTGCTCTCCCCACATTTTCCCTGGGTTTATCATTTCCCTTCATCCTTGTTGACCATCCCTTCCTGCCATCTTAGCTTTATCCCTGGGCAAACACTACCCTGCTGGTCTCCTATGATTGACCGTTCTAATGAGTGCATACCTTCCTGCTATGATTGTTCACATTATAGGCCTGTCTACTGTTTGGCTAAAAGCTGCGCCATGAGTGTTGAGTTCAATTCCTGGCTTGAAAGGTGTCTAAGAGCTGTAGTCTCAGGAGTTCCACCACTCTTCATCAGACCAGTAAGCTTGGTGTTTTTTTTTGACTTTTAGTCCACATTTTTCTCTCATTCTATCTGGGACATCCTTTTGTAATCCCTTTCAGAACCCTCAGCAGTGATAGCTGGCACCAACTAGTTCTTCTGGTGTCAGGGTCAGGGATGCTGAGGTTCACATGGTCCATTAGTTCCATATTCTTTTAGTGCTCAATTTCTTCTGTTTCTCGAACATGTCAAGCTTGTTCAGATCATCACACTGTCCACTCCTTCCCATTCAGATTTTAGTCCAATGTCAGCACCTAGAAGTGCCTTCCTACTCCTCCTT